TCTCTCTCTCTCTCTCTCTCCCCTCCTCTGGATTCAATGGGACTTTTAGAAAATCCCCACTCCTGTGCACACACTCTCTCTCTCTCTCTCTCTCTCTCTCTCCCCTTCTCTGGATTCAATGGGACTTTTAGAAAATCCCCACTCCTGTGCACACACTCCCTCTCTCTCTGTGTCAGTGGTGGGTTTCAAAAATGTTTGGAACCTCTTCTGTAGGTGTGACCTGCTTTCTGGTTCCACTGGTGGAACATCTTCTAACAGGTTCGGTAGATTTGACGAACCGGTTCTACCGAACTGGTGCGAACTGGTAGGAACCCACCTCTGTTGTGGATACATAGAAAAGGGGACCGTTGGAATTCAGTGGAACATAATTACAGATAAGGCAAAATACAGGACTGCCAAATAAATATACATAGAACTAAACTACAGCAACATCCTATTTTGAGATCAGTAAGACAATACTGCAGTGCATCCATTGTCTATCTCAGTGGATTCTCAACCCTACGTCATTGTAGTCCAATAGATCTTTATGATACAGTTTATACATCGTTAATTGCACACGAAAGGGAGCCATGTCCCAGTGCTATGATTTCTGCAAATACACTTTGTGAATATCAAGATTACTTACCAAACTTCAAGAGATACCTCCAACGTGACTTCTGTAACCTAAACAAGCAATGTTATAATTTTATCAGAATTTTTGTCAAGAAACTTGTGATCTATTGTCTTATAAACAAAGGGGTCTCACCTAACATTAATCACCTATCAGTTTATATTAGAGCACTGTTTTTTTTCCTAACTTTCCAAGCTTTAAAAGCCTTTTTTAAGCCGCTACATTGGGAGATTGGGAGGGGAGGGGAGGACGGCTGGGGCAAGGGATGTGTTACATCTTAAATTCTCTGGAAGACATGGGGAAAAAATTAATAGATGTTCCTAAGAAAAGGAACAACTTAGTAAAAAAAATGTAGTGGAATTACACTTCAGTTTCTCAGCATTTATCATCTTATAACTAATGTAATATGATTTTTTTAGCAATGCTGTTACGTAGAGTGCAGATAATAAATAATACTTCCATATTGCCTAAGTAATCAGAGCAATTTTATCTGGGAAATGCATTACTGATAGGGAAAAAACTGAAAATGACACATTTCATCCATACTAAAAAAATAATAATTAAAATCTAGACTCATGCAGAATATCAAAGAGAATAGAAAAACTTGACAGGCGTCTTTTCAAATCAGATTCATTTTTCAAAATATGGCTGTTATCCAAAATTGAACAAATACCAGATTCAGCAATCCAGTTAGGGAAAAAAAACTAGAAGTTCTTCAATTGATATATGAATATGGCTCAGGTCTTGACACTACAAATGGACTAAAAAAAATCTGGGATAGCGACATATAAAGTACATTTAAACATGACTTATGGCTTCTCATGGATGGCTCTTCACAACTGCAGCTATCAACATGTGTGTTGCGCATGAATCTTTGCAAACTGGATTATAAATTACATCTTATTTTAAGACACTGCCTACAGCAATGGTTTCAGCCAGGCAAATCTCGTATTAAAATACTGAGAAAAGCTTCAAAGAATAAAATAAAAGATATGGTTTGGCTATATCCTCGATATCCCAGTTATCATTTTTGTAACCTTTGTAATTTCAATATATCGCACCATTTTCAGTACCAGAAATGTTTAAGAGAAATAAAGAACATCATGTGTGCATAATGACTGGATTCTATATTTTAGATCCTCGACTTATAACCTTGGAAAGTGACCATTTTGAGACCAACAAGTGAAACTGACATATTGATTTTGGAACTTACTTTATTAATGATGAATGGAACTTGTTTCTTCTCCCCAATTTTCAAAGATGAAATGGGGAAAGTTGCTGTACCAATAGTCTCATCCATCACATAATTTGCATCCATAAGAGTAATCTAAAAAAAAAAAAGATACATTTAAACTGAACCTTCACATATCCTAAACAGATGTAAAAAAAAAGACTTTAAAAATGAAGCAAACATGAATTTTATATTAATTTTCAATTACATACATTGGATTGATTAAAGATCTAAAAACACATTTTGCTACCAACTAATTTCACTTCAAGTAAACAAAGCAATATTGGTTAAATATTTTTACTTTTTTTTTAATTGGAAGATCTGTAAACCTTTACCAGATATGGCAAAACAATTATACTGAGGGATTGCACACACGATAACTTTGAGAAAAAAATATTTGTATTTTTACAAATTATTAGTACTGAAATTATGTTAGGACAGCAACTTCAGGGTGAATGGACATAGTTGTATACCTATTAGTCGTAAATGAGGTTGGCCAAAGTGATATTTACTCTTGATGGTCATATCATGCTGTAATGCATTTTGTAAAAATACAACTTCTGATTTTATTCGCTAAAGGCAGAAGATAACAACTGATTATTCTGTTCAGAAAGCAAACACAATTTCTGTGGCAAAATTATTTCTGATGAGCCCAAGATTTTGCCTCTCTTTTGAACATTCGTCTCCCTGTTCTTCCCTTTATCTTTTCTCAAAGGGGCTCATTTACTTAGAAAGAGAGAAATAAGTAAAATTACAAAGCTCATTTCAAGCAAGACTGACATTCAGAAGCTGTAGACCAGCTGCAATAAAGCGTGCATTTTTGAAATGAGAAATTCGAGAGCCGAGGTGGCGCAGTGGTTAGAGTGCAGTACTGCAGGCCACTTCAGCTGACTGCTAAACTGCAGTTCAGCGGTTCAAATCTCACCGGCTCAAAGATTGACTCAGCCTTCCATCCTTCTGAGGTGGGTGAAATGAGGACCCAGACTGTGGGGGCGATATGCTGACTCTGTAAACCGCTTAGAGAGGGCTGAAAGCCCTATGAAGCGGTATATAAGTCTAACTGCTATTGCTATTGCTATTGCTAAATTCATATTAGAACTTTCTCATTCTGGTCTATATTAAGGTATATTATAGACGGCCTGTATATTTTAGATGTTCACACATGTGAGTGTGTCTGTTTCTGTGTGTTAATCTTAGCTCTGTGATTCCTACTATTTCTCACATTTTACGCTTGTAAGTGTACTTCATCAAAAGAGAGATGGGCTTATTCTACTAAATCCCCAAATCCCTGCTCACAAGATTCTCTCATCTTGTCATCTTAAACTCATCATTTTGGTCAGCGCTATTTCACAATGGTAGAAAAGCTGCTGAAAAAACACACCGTCCAAGTTAATCCTCTTAGATTCCCCAGTTTAATTTCTTTTTTTCCATTCTCCAAATGCCTTTCTCTCTTTGCAAGAGAGGAAAGAGTCTACGTCTCCTTGCAATTTGGACTATATCACTTTAGACTGAAGGAATCCCTCTGCAAGGGAGATGGGTGGTGGGTGGTTTAGAAGTGTGGTGTGTGTGTGTGAGAGAGAGAGGGGGGGGAGGGAGGAAAGGAGGGAGAGAGAGAGAGATGAGAGGGAGGGAGAGAGGGAGAGAGACAGAACTAGATAAATATTAGATATTAGAGACAGACAAGAGAGACAACAGACTAATATGACTAAATACACATTCATGCCATGTAGAAAAGCAAATACCAGCCATTAAGATGGTTTCATTAACTAAGCTTTCATTTATAATAAAAAGTCATAAAGCATACCAACTCTGTAAGCAAGGGTACTTAACACACACAGAGTTGCTGAATTAGTCTGCCTCTTTTGACGTTGCATTTAATATTTTTAATATAGTATCTACACTGCACGAGTCCTTTTCCCTACAGATATTTGTACTAGTAAGTACCTCCAGAATATTTTCCTGGTTGGGGTCCAAAATTATCTCGAAAGTTTCATTCCACTCAGGGTTCACATTGTTGTTGATATAGTTTGTTCTCTTCCTGCTGTCTGGTGCCGTGGGAATAAAGATCTCCACATAGGGGTCAGGAGTGTCTACTGTAATAAAATAAGAAACATGCAGGTATCATCAGTAGCGTCTCGGAAAACCTGTAGGCAAGCCATAACATCATATTCTCGAAACCTATTTTTTCGTGACCCGACATCGAAATCACGCCCACAACAGCGCACCGACAAAACCACACCCACAAAAGCGTGATTAGGGTTAAGGTAAGGGTTAGGGTTAGGGTTAGGTTCAGAGTTAGGTTAGGGCTTTCAGCCCTCTCTAAGCGGTATATAAGTCTAACTGCTATTGCTATATTGTTGACTAATTGAATGGAAAATACATGTTTTAATAGACTGTTTTGGAATCCAGTTTCCAGACTCACTACAAACAATACTTCTTTTACTAACGTTCTAATAGTCAAATTTGTTAGGTCAGAATTAAATGTGTATTTTTGAAAGTGATGAATGAAAGAAGTACATTCTCCAGGACTCACAACTCCTATTTAAAGAGCAGGTGGCGGTGGTGGCTAGGAGAGCCTTTGGGCCATGCATCCATTGTGCCATTTCCTGAACCAACAATTCCTACTCACAGTTCCCCACACATAAGTCACCTCCTATCTTGACTGTTTTAATAGACTGTTTTGGAATCCAGTTTCCAGACTCACTACAAACAATACTTCTTTTACTAACGTTCTAATAGTCAAATTTGTTAGGCCAGAATTAAATGCGTATTTTTGAAAATGAAAAAAAAGGGATCAATGGAATCATCAAATTAAGCTTCTAAACAATTTTCTAATTTAATTACTAGCTGCAATAGGCAATTTGTTAATTTAAAAAAAAATGGAGGAATGCTCAGTTCTGTTATGAACAAGTAGTAGAGTTACTCTGCTAAGGGCTTAATGAAAGTGAGGTAATAAGAGGGGGGGAAAAAACCAAAGAAATATTCTGGGTGATGAAATGTGTTTTAGTTAAATGCATATATATTTTTTTGCAAAATTTAGAAGAAAAGAAATCAGGAGAAATTATTTTTTTTATTTATTAGACTTTTTATTCTACCTTTATTACTTAATAGGTAACTGAAAGTGGTGAGTTACCTATTTTAACCACAGCAACAATCCTGTGAGATGGGTTGGGCTGAGAGAGAGAGTGATCCAAAGTCACCCAGCTAGATTTCATGCCTATGGCAGGGCTACAACTCACATTCTACTGTTTCTATGCCAGGATCTTAACCATTATATCAAACTGAAGGAAAAAGAAATGGTGGCTGTTTAGATAACTTGTTCTAAAATCAGAAACATAAATCAAATGATAAAGCAGGATCAGTCCAAAACTTTATCAATGTTCACAGGGAATAGCCATAACTCAACTGAATATTTTCCTATAAACAACTGCAACATAGATGGCCCTGCTATTGTATTGTATCTTATTTTAATGCAGGTCCTCACAATGAAGCCAGAGATACGAGAACAATGAAAAGCAATATGAAGTCCCTCAAATGGTACTTGATTGCCCTTGCTTATATGAAGAAGGTGTAGTTTTCTTGGCAACGATAAAGACATCTGTTGTACCCTCTAGATGCTGAACCTGGAGGTCAGATCATCTTCAACGGCATTTGGATTTTGTCCATCTTCAGTGATGTGAAAACTGTTTTTATATTCTAGCTTTCCCTGTTATGATTCTTATTTGGAATTCTGATTTTGTCCTTCTGAAGTTGCATTATCTGACACTGTTATTTATAAACAATCGTTAGGGATTTTTGATAGCATTTTTGCAAATGTATTTATATTCTTGAAATTGGGGGGTTTACTGGAACTGGTTTTTACTGGGAGCTGTCACAAATTGGAATGCCATTTTCAGCTTAGAATTCCAAATCTCTCACTGACATAAAGAAATGGCTAAAACGTTTTTCATAATGTAATAGCATTGGAAACAATTAGAAGAAGCTAATTCTTTCTTAATGGGAGGCTTACTATAAACACTTCAGACAAAGTAGTGAAATTTGTTCTAAACATTTTTCATTTTAATTTATTTAAAAAACAACAACTGGTAACTGAAACATTCATATCATTAACTCTTTGAAATCCAGAGTGCCATATAGCAAATTAGGAAATTCTCGATTTTGCTCCAGCTATTCATGAAAAAATATATGTAGTATCGCTGATATCTTACTACACCTTTAAATGATTGTGTCACTGCACAAGGATTTGTGGTCAGATGACCATCGTAAGAAGACGGAAGATTCCAAATGTCCAGGTACAAGTAAATCGAACTCATTGGTCAGCAACCAAGAAGGATCTTCCTTTTTCCTCACTTGATACTATATGAAAAGGATTTACCTGCACTCAGGATGACATTAGAGTGGGCTTCTAGCACCACCTTTCTCCTTAATAATCAACTGAAGATGCAACACATTTCATGATCGCAGGACCATTTTAAGAGGAAAGATGGTGGTGATTGTGATAATATTTGCACAACACTTACAAGCCCCTTTTTTACGAAGGCAAAATAGAGTCCAACAGAGTCACCCACCAACCGTGACTTTCCCTCTGCTTCAAAAGAAGTTATAATCAGAATCTGAACATTGCCCATTCCCTATCACTGCATTATATAATGTATAAACCCTTGAATTCAAAATGAAGTGGTCCTTCATAAAAACACTACTTGTAACATACCTGTTTCTAAGAAACAGAACCAGTAAAAAAAAATATATTTCTAAAGAATAAATGATCTCCGAAAACCCCATAGGAGAGATTCCAGATAAAACATTTCAAAGTAATTTAAGGTCAGGTTTGTCAGTGACAAAATTACCCTCTCTATAATTCCTTCAACCTCTACCTAGACTTTTCCTTATCTGGAAAGCCTGGAAAGGAAAAAAGAAATGTTATCAGTTCTGCAAAGGCATTGTAAGTTTGTAGAATCTCCACCAATAAAGCTCTAAAATGACTCCAATTGGTATCAGATCTGCATTGGCTTTATTTATTTAACATAACACACCCATGCTACGTTTCAAATCTCTGAAGAAACAAAAATTAATTTGAAAAAAATCAGTCATACCTGAAGAACATACCTCTCTCTGAACTCATGTGGCAAGAACTGAAAAGAGAACAATGCAATTCAAATAACACCAAAGTGAATACTTACACATATCTCCAAAAGCCCCTTTGGTGACATTTTTCGCCTGCTTAACTGTCACAGTAAATTTGTGCGAATACTGATGTTCCACCTAAATGTCAAACAACAATGGATTAGGAAGCAAAAGATGTACACCCAATAGAAAAGTAACAGCTCGTTAGTGAGTTTTTAGCTAACCTCCACTTCTCCTTTCCTCCCCCCAAAGAAAATTAAGTAACACACCGGAACACACAGCATTGTGTATTGTAAAGTTATTTTCTCTTCGGTTTGGCTGAAAATTTAGATCAATAGGTTACATTGAGCACAGCTGACTGCTACCACTCCTATTCATCTGTGGTTATTTTCTTCCTCTTTTGCGTTTGAGTTTCATCATACTAACTCTCCTCCCCTTCAAACACAGGTACTGTTCAAGTATATCATTAGTCAGCAAGAGCACTGCATAGAAGTAGAAAATTGATTTTACAAGAGTGGTGAGGAATTTGGAAAACCTGCGAGAAAGAATGCTGCCATATAAGATAGTAAGACATGATCCGCATCACGTCAGAGAAGGGTATTTTTTTGGTAGACTTTTGATTCTTCTCCAATAATTATTACAAAACTATTGGACCATTTAAAACGGGACATTGATACAATCAGATCTAGTGTTTTAAGACATCGTATAGAGCCGACTGAAGAACGTATAGACATGATTCAGTGGTGGGTTTCAAATTTTTTTGGAACCTGCTCTGTGGGTGTGGCCTCCTTTGTGGGAGTGGCTTGCCGGCCATGTGACCTGGTGGGAGTGGCTTGCCAGCCATGTGTTTTCTCTCTCTCTCTCTCTCTCTCTCTTTCCTTCCTTTTGTCTCTCTGTCCCTTTTTTCTTTTATCTCTCACTCTTTTTCTTTCTTTTTTCTGTTTTTATTTATTTATTTCTTCCTTTCTTTCTCTTTCTTTCTCTCTCTCTCTCTCTCTCTGTCTGTCTCTCTGTGTGTGCGTGGGGGGCAGTGGGGGGGTTTCAAAAAAGTTTGGAACCTCTTCTGTAGGTGTGGCCTGCTTTCCGGGTCCACTGGTGGAACCTTTTCTAACCGGTTCGGTAGATTTGACGAACCGGTTCTACCGAATAGGTGCGAACTGGTAGGAACCCACCTCTGGCATGATTCCAGCCAATTATGTAGAAGAACTACAGAAGAAGAAATAACCAAAAGCGATAGTAATATTATTATCATTAATTCAAACTTTATCATAAGCCTGTGTGAGATGTGGTATGATGTTTCAACCTAGTTTAATTTGACCACTATAAAGCCCATATCCTCTACTCTAATTTTTGTTATTTTTGAAAATCAGAAAGCTTTTTCTCCCTTCTTATTGCTTCTCTTATTTAAATCTGCTGTGCCCCAAAAAGCTAATTCTGATATTTTTTTAGAACTTGTTTCCAAGTAAACACTTTTAAGAGCATTTGTATCATTTAGATATGGCATTCATAAAAACTGTAAAAGATTAAATGAAATTGTTGAGAATTACAATAAAATGTTTAAAAATCAGTTTTATAGACCAATCGACATAGTCTGGTTTCCTCCATTCAGCACAGCTAAAATCTAATGAGTTTGAGTTAATGGAAGTTTTAAAAAAAACAACTATAGCTTTTTAAAATTCCAACAGTTTAAAATGTAATTTTTGTTTTCAAAACAAGGGAAGATACTATCTTGTTATTTTATTATATTCTTAAATGTAATCTCCATGGACATCTTATTTTCTTGCTAGAATAAGTACATAACATTGATAGTTGAATCAGTTTCATCATTATACCAGCTTTAAATGCATTCTCAGTAAATGAATTGATTAAATAAAGTTGTGACAATTGCCTCATTTTTTTAAAAAAAAATAGTCTTTTAGATACATTTGCAATTTGCATGCACATTCCTCCCATGGGGAAAAATATTTTTTTTTATTAAATTAAACCGATTAAATACAATTTTTAATGATGCCTAAAGATCATGGGAAGATATATTTTTTATTAAATTAAACTGATTAAATACAACTTTTTATGATGCCTAAAGATCACAGAATGCAACTCACAAATATACAAAAAGATCTGTATTCACAACTATATGGACTTATACCAGTGATTTTCTAACTTTGGGTAACTTTTGCAACAGTGTTACCTGTGCCAAACAAAAACTTGTCCATAAATCCGTCCAAACTTAGACATATCCTAATGTCCTTTACTATCTGCCAAATTTCAAGTCTTTGCAAGCAATGTTTAGATTAAGGAGGAAGAAACATCCATCTGTACCCCGATAGTCAGCTTGAGGAGAAGATGCAAAGGAAGACTTTGCTTTTGCATAAATCTTGTATGAATCCAAAGTGAAACTTGTCATTTCCATACAAAGCAAGACAGCAACTTTCTCCATCTTCTATCCCATAAATGAATCAAACCATAACTCCTATTATTATAGCAAGTATATTACAATACAACTAGGGAGACCAAAATATAGAACAAAACATAGGAAGCATGTTCTGCTCCAAGAAACATACAGCAATCTCTCAATGTTTGCAAATTGAGAAATGACCAGCTAGGCACCCTATTATTAACTTAACTAATTTCAGTCATGGAGTTTACTATTCATTATAATTGCATTATATAGTTGTATTAATGCTGATATAATTGCATTGATATATTCAAAATAGTTTTCATGTTATATCACTATATTCCAAATAGCTTTACATCCACAAACAAATGTAATAATTTGAAAATTTGTAATTTGATAATTAAAGAAACCTTTACAGTTTTTGATGAGACTGAAAAGTTTTATCAAGTTGGCGCCAAGCAACCTAGTCTGGAAAGAACATTCCTTGAATGAGGTCAGAAAGATTTATTTCTTTATAATCACTACTAGCTGGGCCTTCACTACTAGCTAGAGCCGAGGTGGCACAGTGGTTAGAGTGCAGCACTGCAGGCTACTTCAGCTGACTGCAGTTCTGCAGTTCAGCTGTTCAAATCTCACCGGCTCA